ACACCCAGAAAGAAAATTCTTTCACTGACCGCATCTAACATCATCTTTACAAACACACACACCAGAATACAAGCCACCCTTATCATCATGACCTTCTGTCACCAAACCACACACACACACAGACACACACACACACACACACACACACACACACACACACACACACACACACACACAGCGGTGAACTATTTCAAACCCAGCTGTCAACATGTGTGCGTGGGAACTGATCCATCGGATCCACAGCAGCCCTGTGATGAACAGTCGTCGGGTTTCATCCAAACGAAACTCGACGTTTAACTGAATTTCCAGAAAATCCTCCAAGTGAAAACGTGACTGTGTGGATGTCATTCTGCAGAGCGAGCCGGTTAAACTACTGCAGAAGACGATGAGGTCATTAAGGGAGTTACAGTCAGAGCTCAAGTGATGGAAAAACATGTGGAAAACATTTTATAAATATGACATTAGTGTCCGTTTAATGTATTAGTGTGAGGAAGGTTACACTCCCCTCATCACTCTACACTGATAGGATGTTTTCTTACCTCATTATACTCCATGTTTGACCTTTTCTCATCCCCACATCCACGGTTCAACTTCACACACCAGGAAGCTCTGAACAGATAGCGGAAAGCTCTATTTACAGATTCTACATAAAAATGTAGAATTTGTTGATATTACAGTCAGACAGATTAATCGACCAGCCGATAATACCGGCCGATATTAGCATGTCAAGTGACAATCGGTATCGGCTAATTTTATAGAGATAGAGATAGATTTATTCACCAGATAAATATCATTTAATTTGAGCTTTATTGTATCAAACTAGCAGTTCTCTTTCACCAGCAGAGGGCGCTATATGGATTACAACAAACATCATCAATCTCCAGAGTGTAGAGCCGTGATGCACGTACATGCTCAGTGACTTTCCAGTTGAGTGACCATCTTGTCTTCGTTAAATATCCTTTTCAAAAGTGTTTGATAAATGACTTTGAGGGATCAACACAATACATGTGTGTATATCTATCTTAACTATCTCTGCAGATCGAACATAGATCTTAGAAAGATATCGGCCAATATTTCTGCATGTTTTCTTTTTCTTTCCCCAAAATCGGTATCGGCCCCAAAAATCCGATATTGGTTGACTCCGAGTATAAGGGAACATACAAAAGAGTCGTGCTGGTTAATACAGATCAGCAGGCTTTAATGAAGGCAGGAAAAACAATCCACATGCAGAGCAGAGAAAGGTAGTAAACCAGTCTGTGGAACTGACATCTCGGCTTCCCTCGACAGTAATCTGATGACGACTTATTTATCTCTACAAAGAGATATCTGCATGCAAGAGCAGCTTAAAAACTGTTCAACATCAAACACTTCAACTTGAGCAAACAATCTTGCTTTGTCTCAATGGCCAATCAGTATTTAGATTTCCTGACTTCCTCGAATGCAGCAGGAATGATTGACCTTCGTTCAACAAACAAACATTTTAAAAGTTGTTTTCTTCTCCTCTTCAGGACAGACTGACAAAGCTTGTGTGAAGCGTCTGTGTAACTTACTATTTACTGTTCAACTGAGACTCACCAGAAACAGATGCTAAAAAGTCCACATCTGTGGCCAAGTCATGATGAGCTGGAGAGTGATCTTTCTTCCATTTACAGTGATGGTTGACTGACGACAGCTGTTTATTTTTCAGAGTAAAGAAGCTCAGAGCTTCTCATCATTTCTATAATCTGTCCTGGAAAAAAACCCATCAACAATCCAGTCTTCAATGTACTGAATGACAATTTAATAAATGTAATGAAAACACTGAATGAGCAAACAAGCCGGGTACGGTGAGCACCACTTCTACAAAGTGCAGGCTTGAAAATGCAAACATACTACAATATCATTCATGAGAAAAGCATGAGTCCCGGCCTCAGAGACGGCCTGCTAGTACAAAAAACAAAAACTCAAAAACAGAAGAAAACAAAGTAATTATTTGTTCTTTTTTCTTGACAAAATATTTCCCACCAACAACACAAACATGTCTTACGTTCAAGGAGTTACTCTGAGTGACTGAATTGGCTGATTTAGAAAGCCAAAGGACTCCACCTGTCACTCAAAACGCCCACACTCCCAAAATCCACTTGACCCTGTTTTTTTAACTCTAATATGTGTCTCTAGTCCGTCTACAAACCCCCAAATGATGAGAAAAGTCCATTCTCTCCGTCTTTTGCCTGTCTCCTCTTTTCAGAAAATGTGCGAAAACAGTCCGCTTGGAGATTTTCCCTTCATGACATCACAAAGGGCAGTAACCCCTCCCCCAGGTGGGTGACACTCCCACAGCTAGGTGTTTGTTCTGCCCTCTGAGTCTGCCTTCTCACCGCACCGAGACACCCAAGCCCTTCCAGAGAGGGGGCGTGGTCAGACACAGCTCATTTAAATTTAAAGGTACAGACACAGAAACAGCCTGTTCTGAGCAGGGCTGAAATAGAGGGGTTTATAGACATGATCAAATACAGGATCAGAGTGAATTTAGAACTAGACACTTCACACATGTGTTTTGTGGAGCTCTGAGACTTATTTAAACTGATTGAAGAGGAGGAGTATGAATATAGGAATATAGGAATATGTGACCTTTAATCAAATGAACACAGGTGATTTTTATAAAAATTTGGCCCTCAACTGTTGTCATTAAAAGAGAAATTAACCATAGAGACCAAAGCCATTTGTGTACATATTGTAAAATAGTTTATTCATGTGGCTAACTACAACGTTAAAGTCGGCCTTAATGGGGATTTTTTGTTCTCTCATGTTTTCTGCACTTCCATGTTGGCTTCATTTTCAACACCAGAGGTTGCCACTTGTTTAGCAATTTGGCCCTTTTTTTTACAACCACAACCAATCCTGTTTGGACAAAGAGATGGATACAGCCTTTCCCTGGTTGACTGATCACCAAGGTAGGGACCTGTCAGTGATAGGTAACTATGCCCTGCCCTCAAGCATACCCTGCTTTACGGTCTCTGTTCGTCTCATACTTGGCTCTTAAAGGAACCATAAATTACCAAATGAACATCATGCTGTATTGAAGAAGACTCAAAACAAAGATCGGGATCATACACTCATTAGGAAAATATTTAGTGAGGTCATAAATTAAGCGCGAAGTAGGCTCACTACCTGAAACACTTCTATAGGATTGAACATCTTTTGCTTCCTTTGCCCCCGTTCTGGCCGTTTGAAAGTTAAGTGAACCTCACTTAATCATTTAAGGTTGGGAGATCGTCAACCTTAAATGATTCTTACTTCTCATAGAAAACACTAATGAAAATAATAAGCATTAACTTCATGCAAATAAATCACTAATTTATGTTTGCTTCTTCACTTTCATTCATGCAGCAACAAGTTCTCCATGTCGGCCACAAACATCACATTTTGTTGGTGCCTCTTTTGACCTTTTATTCATTTTCGTCTTGATGCATCTTTTACATCATCTTTTCATCATGCACATAACATCTCATTTGTGCGATTTACACCACAAGACAGACTTAAGAGCGAGCCCCATCACCTCTGAACGGCCTGACAGAAGAGCGAGCCCCATCTCCTCCAAGCGGTCCGGTTTCATTTGGTGCAGTTTGCATTCATTGGCGTTTCAACTGTCAGAAATTTGGGATGGTAGAGAAATAACTGACCTGTACTGTCTGACAGTTTTGGTCCCCTTCTGTTAGGGTACCACATCTGAACCTAAAGAGATAGAGCTAATCACAGCAGTCTGTTAATTTGTTGAAAGAAGCGTCACTTCCTGTGTGACAGGGCTAATGTCCCATGGATTTCAAGAGTGAAATTTCAAGGCTGTTTTTGTCTTTTGTGGATTAATGACAGCGCATAGCATCGCCCCATGGACGACCTTATAGGTGCAGACCTCTACTGGACGTCCTGCATCGTTTCCCTTTGTTTTCTGCGTCACGCTCTTCTTCATCTTCTTGTATTGGAGGGCTACAATGTGTCGTTATGATATGATGTCACAGTATTACACAGCTGACACAACTATCGCTATCCAGCTAACACTCAGTTTACCAAGTGAGGGTACGTTTGGCTGTGGAAACACAAGCAATGTCAGGGTTTACCGTACTGAACCGAATGGGACCGCTTGGTGAAAACGGGGGCGTGGGAAACTAAGATCTTACAGAACTCATTCTCATTGTGCTGCTAAGAGTTGCACATGTTATTGCTGTGAAAAATCAAAGTTTGTCAATTAAAGACATTGAAGAAAATGAAGTTTTGAACATTTTGAAAATATACTAATGTGAACTTTGGAAATAAACAACATTTTCACATTTTTTTTTTTTTGTTTCTTGTTGGTGTCAGGTCATTTACGACATAATGTTTGATGAAGGCTGGTTGGAGGGGCCCCCTGTAAGTTTTTGCCAAGGACCCCCCCCCCCCAAACAGACTCTAGAAACGCCAATGCAAATGTCAAGAATTGTCTTCTCTTTGTTTGTCGTCTGTCCGTTCAGCCTGAAATCTGTCTGGATGTTTAGTTGGTAAGGCTGTGCACAGAGGCAAAATTAAAAGCTATTTATAGTTCACTTTAAATTCATTTAAGCGACGGTAGCACGACTGTTTTAAAAACTACTACCCATTCTTTAAGTGTCTTTACTTCATTGTCTTCCCTCCCGTGCTGACGCCCCCCTTTGACTGTAACAAACAGCATCAGGAGCCACTGAGAGCTCTGTTACCATGGGGACCCAACACAGGTATCAATCCTGTGACATCACAATGACATTAGCAGCAGAACCAGACCAGGATCCAAACCAGCAGCCTACTGACACTTCCTGTATACTGTTTCACAATAAAACATCTGTTGGACCTACACACACACACACACACACACACACACACACACACACACACACACATGGTGAAGTCAAACTGACGTCAGCTCCTCCTCCTTCATCTCTTCCCTCATCATCAACAACGCCATCATCATCATCATCATCGTCAGGCTTTCCGTGCACGTGTCAGCCTACCTGTGTCTGCTGGCGGCGCGAGCTCCGTGCGTGTTCGTGTGCGCGCCTGCATACAGGCTGTAGGAGTTCCTCTGCGGGAACGCGCTCTTGGCGAGTCCGCAGGTCCAGAGCGCGAGCAGCAGCGGGAGGAGCGCGGCCATCCCGCCGATCAATACACGATCAATGCAGAGTATCGATACCTGATCAGAGTGTGATCAGCTCCGCAGGTGGCGGGAAAAAGTCATCTCCATGGAGACAAAAGTAAAAGTTTCCACAAAAGTCCGTTCTACCAACCCATGGTCTGGATCCAAACACCCCAGAAAGCAGACCTGCAGCAGAGTCCAGTCTCCTCTATCCCACACCGAGTCCGAGTCCCGCTCCGAGTCCTGCTGATCCTGACTCTTTAATCCAGGTTAGATCGGTCTGAAGTCCGGTTTGATCCGGTCAGAGTTAGTCCATCAGAACTTTTCATGAGAAACAAAGAGAAGAAGAAAACGTTGCGACAGACTGAACCGAGACCAGCTGCTCCTCCTCTTCATCACCGCCCCCCCGAACTGACCCCGCCCCTCCCGGAGGAGAAACCAGACACGTGCAGCCTCCGCACCCTCACCTGTACACCACCAGAAGTGACAGAAGAACCAGACCAGAACCACGCTGGGTACCAGACCAGCGCAAAGAGTGACAGGTCACAGTAGTGTCCAGTACTGATGGAAACATAGCATGGTTTATTGATACACTGCAAAAAATTACAATTTGAATCAGTTTTTCTCAAATATAGTGTCAACTTTGACGTGTGTTATAAAAATTAAGAGCATGAATCTGCTAGTTTTTCCACAACCTCAGCAGAGTCTAACTCCTCAAAGGTGGGACGTAGAGTGTCAGGTCTCTGTATTTGACTTGAGACACAAACATCTGCACTCTTCAATCTTTATTAGCTTTTCTCACTTGAGTGGAATTATTCATATATTTGTTCACCCTGCATCTTTGTGAGCCCCCTTCATGTCCACACATTCAAACTTGTCTTTGAATTTAAAAAAAGTATTAATTAGTCGACTTCAGAGATGGTAATGAACTTGTACGACCTTGAAATATCTCTTTGATGGGACACAGACGAGAAAACATCCTGCAGGCTTCCTGGAGCTAAAGGATGTTTCATATCTGCTGCTCCCTAAAATAAACCGCTACCAATGACCTCTGACTTACACAGACACACACACAGACACGCACACACACACACACACACACACACACACAGACACACACACACACACACACACACACACACACATAGATAACTGTAGAAGCAGCAGTCCCTGTGATGATAACGACATGACAAACACTCTCTGGGTGTGTCTGATTTGTGTCACAGAGCACGCTCTAAACTCAGATCATTAAATCACTGTTTTTCAATCCTTTAATACCAAACTTGGAAATAATAATAATGATAACCTTCACCTCACCCACATCAATAAATCACATCTCTGTATTAAGGTGAAAAAGGTGCTGTCAAGGTGGAGTCCGTTTTCTAAGGCACATTAAGTTCCTCGTATACTTCTGTTGCCTGAAGTTCCCCACGCCCCACAAGTTACATAGACCCTTCAAGTTCCCTAAAGTTCTTCCAACCCTCAGTTTGCACACCCCATGGGCAGGAGCTGTGGTCCTCTATAAGCGGGCAGCCCGGGTTCAAAATCCAACCTGTGGCTGCTTTCCCACAAGTCATTCCCCGCTCTGACCTGTCTCTACAATCAAGGCACAATAAACAAATAAATGAATCAACTCCAAATTCTAGAGACAATCCAGAGATGCTGCTCGGCCGAACAGAAGATCAGACTTTTATTGATTCATTCTCAGATTGTTGTGTGTGAGCTCGGTTCTGCCCCGAGCGTTTTGCCTGCAGGAGAGTGGAGCAGTGGGCCGCAGAGGTCTGCTGTGAGTTTTATCTCCATGCAAACAGCTTGCTCTCAGAGTGATGAAACAGTCTGACTCATGCAACATCAAAGTTATGATTATTATTCACACATGTAAACCTTTTCCTTTTGTTATTAGAAACAAAACCGAGCTCAGTCTCACTTAGAGGATTTTAACTTCCAAACGTGGAGAGCGAGCAGACGTGTCGACACCTGACCAAGCGCTGATAAAAAACTGTTGATGTTTTTATTCTAAAAAGAACAACAGAGTGAGGCGGTAAAAACACGACTGCACAATGGAAACAAAAAAAAAAAACTGTATCAGATCTCATAAATCATGTGTTGACCCCCCCCCTTGAGGCCCCACCCTGCCTGGGTGGAGGTTCAGACCACCCAGACTCCATCACTCAGACTAACCACTGTTTTCAGTTTTATGAGGCTGTTTTTTTAAATGGAGCTTTTGTATTAAACACAGAGATGCATTCCTGAGCGGGAGCCTCAGGTGAGGCGCACGGAGACAAAGAGAGAAGCAACAGTTTATAGTCACACAAACATTCATCTCTTCATTCCTGAATTTGGTCAGATGTTTCCATCAAATGCTTCTTTTGGATTTACAGTTATAGAACGCACAAACCCCGAATCCTGAAAAATTGGGATGAAATGTCACATTCAAACCGATTGGATTATGATTAATACTTTTTTAAATTATACACCTGAATTGAATTTGATGCCAGCAGCATGTTCATAAAAAAAGTTTGGACATGGACATGTTTATAACTTTGTTTGCATCACTTTTTCTTTTAGCGTCGTGTTGCTGCAACTTTTTTTCACCAGTTTTAGACTATGGTGATATTTTGTCCAAGCTCACCTTTTGCTCAGTGTCTCCATATGGATGATACAGCCCACCATGCATCCTTGATGTTGATAGAGGTTGGGGTGGCAGTAGCTCAGTCTGTAGGGACTTGGGAGTGGGAACTGGAGGGTTGCCGGTTTGAGTCGCGGCTCGGACCAAATCTGGAAACTGGTCTGGAAGCTGGAGAGATGCCAGTTCACTTCCTGAGCACGTGCAGTGGAGGTCCCCTTCAGCAAGGCACACTACCACACTAACCACAGCTAAACATCAAAGAAAATGCATGTCAGTGTGACTCCGATTGATTGAGCTCCAGAGGTCAAAGACTGTAAAAATCCGTCTGACCTATTATCTGCTGAGATCATCAATCTGATCTGAGATCAGAAAGGAGTCTGAACCACGGGATGCCAGGAGAGAGGATGAAGACGAAGATGGATGAAGCCTTAAATAAAGAAATTGCAAAAATATGTTGGCAATGTTTTGTGACTGGCAACATTACGGTATGTAGGCAGCTTAACAGTACCCGCACGTTGCCAACATATTTGTGCCCTTTAGACAATGTGAAGGCGTTTACCTGCAACTTCTGATGAACTCATTCTTCTCCTACACACTTTTCTTATTAAATAGTCACAGATTTTATGAAGCTACAGTTCTTTTTGATAGCGTCCAGAAGAGATGGCATCCTTTTAGAATGTGTGTGGTATCGAAAAGTACTGAAGGAGAACCATCTATTCTGCTGATTCATATTTAAATACATACATATAATTTTTTGTTGGATGTCCATTTTAAAAGACACACAGTTGTTGGCGTAATCCCAGGACGTGGTTTCCTGTTGCTCTAAACGAGACATGAGACCAGAACCCGGCGTCAGGTTCTGCTGACTTATCAGAGCAAATCATGGAGCAGAGTTGTAAGACACGCCCACCTCCGGCAGCTCTTTTGAGGACACAGAAGCTAACTCAAATTTCCCTGCGACTGCAAACAGAGTCGGCCAATCAGAGGAGAGTTTGGACGTCGGGAGGAGGGGCCTTAAAGAGACAGCAGCTGAAATGAAGCGTTTCAGGCAGAGGATGAAATGAGGGATTTTACTGATGCCAGTGTCAGATAAATAAGGAGGTTTTTGAGCGACGCATCTAACAACGCTACTCAACAGGTGTCCCAGACGCACATCATTAATGGTGAAAGTGAGCTTAATAGATCTCCTTTAATGTAAAGATTTAATGGTGAATTTGTGTACTGAAGCAGTATCACAGGGTATGCCGAAGCTGTGGAGGAGGGGCCCACTGTGAGATCGTTCCATTGGTCCCTGAAACCCTGTTGATGACCCTGTTTCAAACTAAATGGTTTCCATTAGTCAGTGATCACAGTGTTTGAAAGCAGGACTCAATTTGTCACCAGATTCTTCACACGTTCACAAACAAGGTGGTTTTAAAGCCGAATCTCATACTGCAGCGATGATCCGGCTGAAGGGCACTTTGCAGGAGATGAGGGTTTATGGCTCTCCGGTTTGTCTTCACAGAGAATAAAGTGGAAAACTGTTAACATTCCTGAAGATATTGTAAACAACGGAGCCTGAAGGCAGCACGCTGTCAGTCATTAATCAGAGAGTTTCTGATAAAGATGGAAAAAGTCTGCTCTGTTGTCTTTGTTTCCATCGGTACATGGAAACACTGAGGACAGAGCTGATGCCTGTCAGAACACGCTGAGGGAAACACTGCTCTCTGATGCTGCCTGTCCCATTGACGCCAGTCTGAGTCAAGAAATACCAGGAATTAAGACACAATGAATAACTGTGACGATCCAGAAACATGAACACATGATCCAATCAGCGGTCATACAGTCCATCCTTAAAACACCATCACAGCATCAAAACTGAAACATGGAGTTTAGATTGTTTTCATATCTGATTTTAGACCCTTTCTAGGGGGGCTGAAGTCTCCTTACATTTCATCTCAGCATCCCTGAAATATCAGGGTAAGTGCCCATCTATTAACCGATAACTCCATCCATCCATCCATCCATCATCAAGGTAGATCACCATCGCCTTCCTTCGCTGCATGGCCCAGAGCCCGGCCAACAACCAACTGGAGAGAGAGAAAAAAATGAAGGATCCTTGAGAATCCTGAAAAAGGTCACGAAGGTTTAAAAAAAGAAAGTGTGATAACAAATAATGTGATAATTTACACTCAGGTTTTAAAACAAACAGGCTGACGGTTCATGACAATAAATCAAAGATGGTGATTCAAGCCATTTCCTGTTTATTATTCTGAACCCCACAGATACTGTCGATGCTTTCATTCTTGTAATTGGGTGCTGCTTCTTAAAGAAACATAAGCACACGCTGCAAACATAGAAACCTAACCGTCTGCTATCTTTTAGAAGAAGAATTATCAACACTGTAAATTTGCTCTGTATACATTCAGTCTGAACGACATCATCAGACAGAAGATATGTTTATCCTCATCTCCGCAGAAACTGTAGAAATAATGTAACCTACCTAAAAATACATTCAGCATCTGCTGAGACATGAGACGACGAAGTTTCTACACAATGGAAGCGATGAGCTGAGGTCCGCTTGAATTCCTTTTGCAGCTTTTTGCATTTGTGTTACAGCTTTTTGCATTTGTGTTGTGTAGTTTGCGAAGCGATTTTGTAAATGCATTCAGCTGACACCTCCCAGCCACCGTAGTTAGCGCTTGCAACTGTTGCAACTGTTGCAACTTGGACTTATGTAGCCTGTGTGTTAACAAAGAACCAAA